CTAAGACTTTTTATTTTATCTAGATTTCAAACAAACAAAACCTTAAAATTAGCTATATTGCATTAATAGGATTTTTAAAACATTGGAAATCACAGAGGTTGTCCAGTCTGCAATGTCCATTCTGTAACAATATTTACCTGCTGCAGAATGGATATCGTCGTTGCAGAAAGGACACAATTATTAAATCGTTATTTTGACATGCCAAAATTCTATAAATAATATAATAAAATAGCATTATTTTGTTGGGCAAATAATTAATAGAAAATGACTAAGTTTCCAGTGCATTATTCTTGACATGCATTCTTAATTTAGTTTGGCTTGTTATGTTTAAGTACCCACCCACTGGGAAAAATAATATTTCTACAATGTTACTGAACGTTACATTTGTTAGATGTAATGTTACAAAAATCCTTGTGGCAATGTTGCAGGAACATTGCAACAAAGCCTTATGTCCGGCTCAGGAACATTACATTTACAAATAAAATGTTGCTTAAATGTATTATTTGCAATGTTACTTACTAAATGTTATTTTTGTTAATGAAAGGTTCCTGCAACATTACAGGAACATTGCAATTAAATTAATATAAATTATTATAATAATAATTAATTATAATTATATATCCATATATAACGACTGTACATCCCGAGGGATAGAAGTCACTCCGTTAGGAGTTTAATGATTCTTTCGGTGAATCAGTCCTTTGTTTATTTATGTTTCTTCTTGTTAAAGTTTGTTGTGTTTTTTTGCGTCTTCAGTAATTTTTGCCCATTGTTTTCTGTTTTGTACTATGTTTTTCCAGTTCTTTATTCCTAGATTATTTATGTCCTTCAGTACTTGTTCTTCCCATCTTATTTTGGGTCTTCCTTTTGGTCGGTTTTCGCCGGGTTTCCAGTTTTTTATTCTTTTAATAATTTCTTCCGGTTTTCTTCTCTCTACATGTCCAAACCATCGGAGTCTTTGTGCTTTTATGAATTTAACTATGTCCTCTCCTTCCATTATGTTTTCTATTTCGTGGTTCATTAGTTTTCTATATCCTTCGTGTGTTTTAAGTGGTCCCAGTGCCTTTCTAATTATTTTTCTTTCAAAACATTTCATTTTTATTTCGTCTTTGTTTGTAAAGCATGTTGTTTCTGCTGCGTAAGTTACAATTGGTCTAATTAGGGTTTTATAAATTCTTATTTTTGTTTTTTTGCTAAAGTTTTTATCCGTAATAAACTTTTTGTATTTCCAATATGCTCTGTTTCCTGATTGTATTCTTTCTGCTATTTCTAGGCTTCTATTATTTTTTCTATTTATTTGTACTCCCAAATATTTGAAAGTTTCTACTGCTTCAAATTTACAATCCCCTATTTGAATATGACTTTGGGTTATATCTCTTCTGGCGCTATGCATGTATTTTGTTTTTCCTTGATTTATTTGTAGTCCTATTTCTTTTGCCTTAATAATAATTTTTTGTATAATTTCTTCTAAGCTTCTTTTGTCTCTGGCCACTACTGCTATATATACCGATACTTTGTTTTTACCCACATGTATTGTAATTTCTACTTTAATTTTGTATTCTCTTATTTTGACTTGTGTAAGTACTTGTTTGTATGTAACATAAATAAACATTATTATTATTATTATTATCGTCTGCATATGCTATATATTGGGTTGAGTTTTGTGTTATAACTTTCTTGTTTCCTATTTCTCTCATGATACCTTCTAGCGCTATGTTGTACACCTACCTCGATTTCAAATTCTTTTGATGTTCCAGTTTTTGTTTTTAATTTTGCTTTTGATTCGTCCATGCTCATTTTAGATAGTCTTATAAGTTTTATTGGTATGTTCATTTTTTTCATCTCTTCTATTAATTTTGTCCGTATAATTTTGTCGAATGCTTGTTTAAAGTCTATAAATATGATGTGGAGTTCTATGTTGTGTTCGTAGCTTTTTTCTAGTATCTGAGTCATTACGTGAATTGCATCTGTTGTCGATCTTCCTTTTCTAAACCCATTCTGATATTCCCCTATTTCATGTTCTGTGTATTTTGCCAGTCTTAATCTTATTATGTTTGTTAATATCTTATATGCAGTGTTCAGTAACATGATTCCTCTGTAGTTTTTGCAGTCTGTTTAATTTCCTTTTTTGTGTATTGGAGTTAATAGACCTGTTCTCCATTCTAATGGCATAGTTTCTTGGATCCATATCTCTGTTATTAAGTTGTGTAGTCATTTAACAAGTGTCTCCCCTGCTTGCTCTATTAGTTCATTATTGATTTCGTCTGGTCCATATGTTTTATTTTTGTTAAGGTGTGTTACTACTTTATTGAATTCTTCGTACGTCGGTGGTATTTCATCGTTGTTGTTTACTATTTCTTCTTCAGTTTCTGCCCTTTGTTCGCCTTCATTTTTGCTATATAGTTTTCTGAAGTGTATCTCCCAGTCTTTATCATCTATTTTTGCGGTTGGTTTCTTTATTTTGTATAGATTTTTTATAGTATTGTAGATTTTTTTGCTTCTATTTTTCTTTCGCATTCTTCGTCAAACCATGTCTTAATTTTAATCCTTTTCTTTTTTCCTATTGTCGTCTCTGCTGCTTGTAAAATGCAACTTTTTATATTTCTCCATTCTTCTTCTATATCTGCTGTGTTGTTTGCTTGAAGCTTTTCTTGTATATTCTCTTTATATTTTCTATTTACCTGTTCGTCTTTTAGTTTGTCTATTTCCCATTTTCTGCTATTTATTTTAGAAGTATCTTTTATTATTTTCAGTTTAATTTTCGCTATTACTAATGTGTGGTCTGTGTCCGCGTTTGCGCCTCTGTATGATCTTACATCATGAATTATTCGTTTCCATTTTCTAGAAATTAATATGTGGTCTATTTGGTTGCCTTCTGTGGATCCTGGTATCATCCAAGTAATTTTGTGTGGTTTTTTGTGCTTAAAGCTTGTGCTTACAATAAATGAATTTGTCATTTCGGCTAGGTTGCAAAGTTTTAATCCATTGTCGTTAGTGTTAGTGTGTATAGTTTCCTTGCCTGCCACATTGGTGATATGATTTTCTTTTCCAATCTTTGCATTAAAATCTCCAACCAGAAAAACTATGTCATTTCTTTTTATGCTTTCGTATGTATTTTCTAGGTTTTCGTAGAACTCGTTCTTTTTAATTTCTTCTGCATCTTCTGTGGGTGCGTAGGCGCAGTGATGTAATGTATCGAGATACATGTATCTAGATACATTTTATGTACGTATCGAGATACTTAAAAAAATCAGGATCTACTTTAGTATCTAGATCCCTTTGAAAGTATCTAGATCCTTAGATACAAGATACATTTTAATTTACCCAACCTGATTGCAACTCCACACCGTGTGGGCCACAAATAATAAAAAGATATTTTATTTCTTTTTCCCTTCAACCCACTTTGGAGTGCGAAGTGCATAAAGTAACTCTTAGGCACTAGTGAGTAAAGTTAAACAAAAGCGCTGTAGTTGGCTTTTCTTCGTTCTGATAATTTTGAATTTGTACTACAAATTTTGTAGTAAGCTTTCATATGGCGAGTAAATATAAAATTTATTTCCGTTTTTCATGGATATTTCGTCAATTTTATCAAAACAGTTTTATTTTATAGTTAACCCGCTTGAAGTAACTTAGATACTTTTTGAATGTATCTGTATCTGTACCCAGATACTTTTGGGAAAATGTATCGGTATCTGTACCCAGATACATCTACGAGAGAGTATCTGTATCGGTACCTAGATACTGAAAAAAATGTATCGGTTATAGTGGTATCAGTGTTGCCACTCGTTTACAGCGTTGCCAGACCACGAAAAATTTCCGTACTGATTTGGAATGAAAAACGTACTGATTTTAATAAAAAAGTACTGTTTTCAAAAAAAATACAAGATGTTAATATTTTGACGTACACCTCGTTTCTTATTGTAGTACACGTTCATCGCCCATAATGGCGGGTGGGGGCGTTGCAACCACATACTTAAAGTATAAAGCCTGATTTATAGATTACCTTCCTTCCTTTCTCCCGTAAAAGACGAACAATACGAAAATCGTAGTGCCATTTATAGTACGGGAATCTTTAAACTGCACAACGGTTTTTGTACTGTTCATCTTCTAAGGGAGGAAGGAAGGAAGGCACTCTATAAATCATGCTTAAGGGTGGGTTCATAATGACCGTTAGAATAAGCATAAGAAATAAATAACAATACCACAGAATAAAGAACATTATTACTTAAAACATAATCACTAACACAACGGCCTGCAACGAACTAAACTAAATTATACTATATAGATGTATATAGTATTTAATTTAGATAGTTCTTTACTTTTAAGCCTATATACACTTTTAAGATTTTTTTTTAAGGTTTAGCCAGCTCATTATTATATGTTTTTATGCTCGAAAAACAAGCACAACACCCAAGGCTGTGACCGGGAATCGAACCCGGTACCGTGGTCTAGGCCCGGTACCGTCACTTTTAAGTTTTAAATTAAAACATCAACTGTCAAATCCAGGTGTGTTACCAGGTCGCTTTTTAATTGTGGCGCCACCGCTCTACTTGGTAAGTTGGCAACACCGAAACCTTTGGTACGAAAGAATGGAACAAACCCAAGGGTTGGCAGCAGCGACAGAAAATGACAGAAGCATCCAAAATAGTGGCTGTGTTACCAGGTCACTTTTTAATTGTGGCGCCACCGCTCTACTTGGTAAGTTGGCAACACCGAAACCTTTGGTACGAAAGAATGGAACAAACCCAAGGGTTGGCAGCAGCGACAGAAAATGACAGAAGCATCCAAAATAGGCAACCAGGATTTCACTAATCTTTCAAACAAATTGTATTGTATTCAATTTTGTTTTTTTGTGAAGGAAATTTCGCAAAAAGTACTGAAACTATAAAAGTAGCACTGACGTACTGACAAACCTTAAAAAGTACTGATTTCAGTACAAAAGCACTGGCACTGGCAACCCTGCTTTCGCCCTATTTCGGTTTTGCTTCTTTGGTGTTCTTTGGTTGAGAACATTGTTAATCTTTCAATTTAAGGTTATGTTGTTTAATTTTTATTTGAACAGGGCAATCAATTTTTTATTTTGTATTTTAAGTTAGTAGTATCCAGAGATAAAGTAGTATCCTTACTGAATAAACCTAAAATGAATAATATTGTACTAAAAAGGGAAAGTAATACAGACTTTAGTTCCACTGATGAAACTAGTCTTTTGGTTGTTATTTTTGATAGTAATCCTGGCCAACAATTTTTACGAGATAATACACATGTTTTAACCCACTGTTTAGATTCAATAATTGCTTTTTCGAATGCTCATTTAATGCAAAAAGCACAAAACAAATTAGCTGTAATGGCTTGTCATTCAAAAACAAGGTAAGTCCTCAAAAGTTGTTAAAAACTAGAAACCTTTACATAATTTCAATGGCGATATCAGGGTGGAAGAACCACCCTGGGCAATATGAAGCTTTAAAGTTATACATGGTGTCCAAAAATGAAATGATCAAGAAATTCAGGAATAATTTTCTAACAGGATAAATTGACATAACATAGGATATTCAGGGTGTCTCCTAATAAATTGTTATCCTTTGTGGGGATGATAGTACTAGTACAGTCATCTTAGTAAAAAAAAGGGATCAACCTCGGAATCTAACGGAATAAGCTGAATTTTTGTGACAACCTTTATTTTAGCATTACAAATGTTGTCTCAAAAGTCACATAATATATTATGCCAACGTGTGAGTGGCCTTAGATATTCAAGGTCAAAGGTCGCAAAAATCAGTTTTTTGAGAATATCTCGTTTTCTCTGCCTTGGATTTATTATATAAGTTGTAGAGAATAAAATTCTCTAAAAATTTTGTTAACAAAAAATTTTATATGCGTCGAACCGTTTTTGAGATAGAGGGCGCAGAGTGTGGAGCGCTCAGCCATATATGGCTATACGTACCTTTAGCGCAAGGTAAATCGTGAATCCCAATCTATTATACCGTTTTTTAATTAATGATATAATAAATATTACTAAAAAAAATTTAATACCTTATACTTATATTTATATTTCTTTTAAATCAAATATATTTTACCTTCATATAGGTATATCTTATATTTTAATTTAATTTTAATGCAGGATAATTGGATCAGAGTAGGAAAAAATGTTTTTATTTATATCAATATTATTATTATTATTAATATTTATCTTCTTCATCCTCGTCTTCTTCAGGTTGGCCAGCAATTTCACTCTCCTCGTTATCATTAACATTAATTGTCATATCTTCAAAAACTTACTTATAACGCGTTTGTACTTTGCAGATTTTTTTGCCTTTGTTGCCTCATCTGCGAATTCACCACAAAATAAGGACAATATTTTAAAATCAAACACATCATTCCCTTTTTTACGAGGTACAGTTGATGACGTTGAAGGTCCAGTCTCTTCAAGGCGACGTTTTGCTGCTGCAATTTTACTATAGTACGCTATAGCGTACAATTTTCGACACTCAATATGAACGTTCACAGAAGTCAAAGTATTTAGGTAGTTTATGTTTATTTCTCTCAATAATTGCTTCTTTTAAAGTCTTTATACCGCGCACAAAAGTCACAGAATCATCTTCAGAAAGTAACTTATTACAAATAAAACACAAATCAGCCATGTTAACCTTTAAAATATTATGAATATTACCTGTCACAACCCTAGACCCATACCTAGGGTCACAACTTGCTTTAAATATAGGTATACCTAACCTTTTTATTTATAGCAAGCCCACTATAGTATTTCCAGGTCTGTTATTTTAAAAGCAATATCTGGATCCAAGAGATGACCAGAGACATATTCAAGGCAAATTCATTTAATGTATTTTCTTCTTAAAATGCATTTATCATTAATTAGAATAACATTAGAATATATTTAGAATGATTCACTTCATTATTTAATTATTTGTATGTCAAAAGTAAGTAATATTTAATGACTGTTTGTTTAAAAAAAAATATATAAATATAAGGTATTAAAGTGTTATTTAAGTAATATTTAATAAATAATTAATTAAAAAACCGGTATAATAGATTGGGATTCATGATTTACCTTGCGCTAAAGGTACGTATGGCTGAGCGCTCCACACTCTGCGCCCTCTATCTCAAAAACGATTAGACGTATAAAAAAATGTTTTAAACAAAATTTTTAGAGAATTTTATTCTCTACAACTTGTTTAATAAATGCAAATACGATAGGAGGCAGAGAAAAGGAGATATTCTCAAAAAACTGATTTTTGCCACCTTTGACCTTGAATATCTAAGGCCGCTCACACGTTGGCATATGTGACTTTTGAGACAACATTTGCAATGCTAAAATAAAGGTTTGTACAAAAATTCAGCTTATTCCGTTAGATTCCGAGGTGAAATGCCTAGATGACTGGACTATACTGTATAGTCCAGTCATCTAGTCTATACATACCAAAGCAAAAAAAAATTTCTCTATCATTTTTGCATTATTGCTACTGTTTTTAACCAGGGAGCCACTGGATGTCATCATTGTTTTTACCTCTACCACAGTGTATTATGTAATATAAAGCAAACTTTTAAACTTATTTAAAATTGGTTAGAATACCTATAGGTACTTTGTTATCATTGATATATAGGTAAGTTGTTATTGTGATTTCTCTGGAGCTACATGAATAGTTTAGTATACCAGAGCAAAGTTGACACATTAGAACAACTCCCCGAACTTGTCACTGCAATGGCAGATGAAATCGCAAGATCGACACATCATTATTTTCTACGCCGCTGTCAACTTTGTGTGGATAATAACGGCGGGATAGTTGAACATTTTGTGAAAAACTTATATATAATAGGTACATGAGCATCAATCACTGTGTTTGGATATTTTGCGTCAGTTGTCATAGGTCAGGAACAACCAGTGACGGCCCAAAATTTCTACTTAACTTAAAAAAAATTTAATTTTTTTTTAAACAAAAAAATGGCACTAATCAAAAATGATAAAAAAAAAATTTCTTACTTTGGCGTGTACTATCATCCCCTTAAAGGATGACAACTTATTTGGTGACACCCTGTATTTCTTTCATTTACCATTCTAGTTGCAGATAATGTCCGTTCAGTTGAGCAGTCTATGGAATGTCACCCTGTCTATCATCTCTATGTTTAGTAGGGTGAGCCAAAAAAACTAACCAATTGAATTTATGGGTTAAAATAAACCTATATACCGAGAAAAAAATGTCCCTGCAAGGCAGGATTTTTAGCTCAATTTTAAAAGTTGTCGGTGAGCATTTAAAGTTTCCCATTTAAATAACACATCAAAAAATCTTCTTTCATTAAAAATACCATAACTTTTGAACCGTTTACGATAAAAATTTTACGTCGCGGATTCTTGTAGAGCATAAAATTTTCTAAAAAAATCTACCCCAGGATTATTTAATTAAAAAATCAAAATATTCAGTTTTAGTGATTTTTTACACTTTTCAAAGCTTTCAAACATACGAATTTTTGAATTGAAAAAAATAATCCTGGGATAGATTCTTTTGGAAATTTTATGCTATACAAGAATCCGCGACGTAAAATTTTTTATTGTAAACGGTTCAAAAGTTATGGTATTTTTAATGAAAGAAGATTTTTTTACGTGTTATTTAAATGGGAAACTTTAAATGCTCAACGACACCTTTTAAAGTTGAGCTAAAAATACTGCCTTGCAGGGACATTTTTTTCTCAGTATATAGGTTCATTTTAACCCATAAATTCAATAGGTTATGTCAGTTGAACCCAACCTAAAAAAAATATTGTGCCAGAGTCTTAAGAAATTATTTAATTAAATGCTTTAAAAAAATTGTATATAAAACTCGGCGCCGAAAGCTTATTAATTGCCTTGCACACAATGTATTACCTCGGCAGTGAAATGTCTGCTCGGCGATAATTTGTGCCTGGTGTACTATTAGATATATATTATACCTAATTAAAATTTTATTGAAATTTCTTATTGAATAATTTTTATACTACTAATATATTTATCATTCTCACATTTGCAATTAAATCCTTCTTGTTTGGATTAAAATTATAATGAGGAAACTTTTGTTGAGGATTAATACACTACAAGAGCAAGGGTGCCATTTTTTATTAAAAACAATTTTATATTCAAAATTATTTAATATTTTTGTATAATATGCTCCAAGAAAGCTAAATAGCTGGCTTTCTAGGGGGCACGACAAAAAATGACATATACAAATAAATATACCTACGGATGCGCAAAATGCTCGTGCCCACAGTCTGTGTCTGTGTATGTATTGTAAATTACCCAACCAGCATTGGATAACGGCTATGCCCGGTGAGCACTTTGAGCATCCGTTGGTTTCCACTGCATACGCTATTTGTCGTAACATATTATGCCTTTTGATTAAGAGTTACCCATCCTTTATTTAGTCTTCTTGCTCCACATCAAAAAGTCCCACCTTAACATTGAATACATATAATTTAGGTTATCTATTTAAAGCTAATTTCGTCTTAGTTTCTGAAAATAATAATATAATAACAATGTATATTTTTTTTTTGTTATAAATATAAGTATATTGTATTGTTTTCAAAAAATTAAAATCCAAATTTTATTTAGTTTTTGGACACCCTGTATATTTATTGATTGGGAAAATATTTTATTGATTTATTTAATTGTAGTCAATTTATTTTTCCTGGCCCAGGGAAACCCATTGATATAAGACAAACTGATGGTCAGTATGAAATATTTACGATGGTGGAAAAAACAATAAAGCATAATTTGTCAAAATTATTAGGTTCTGATATATCAAATATTTTAACAGAAAGTCTATTAGCGGGAACTATTGCAATGGCTTTATGTTATATAGCTAGAATGCAAAGAATAAAATCACCAGGGATAAAAGTAAGTTAAACGTTTTAATTTAAAACATTTTAATATAATATCACTTGATGAAATAATTTAAACCTTTACTTTAAATTTAGAATCTTAAAAACATTTATATTATGTTATAAAATTTATACTTTTCACAAAAACAAGTAAATGGCTTTAAATAACATTTTTGCAATGAAACCTTAATTACTTTGAAAAATTATATATGGGGCAGTCCACGCCAAATCGGCCAAGAGTAAGACATCATGTTTCGAATTGCTGTAAATTTTCAGGGTCGATAAAGGAACTAAAGTAATGAAGAAATCTAAAATTCCAACCTCTTTTATGCATTTTTGTAGGTTTTACAAAATAAACAAAAAAAAAACTTCTCTTATTTTTCGATTATTTAAAAACCCGAAAGACAAAAAATTTCGAAATTTTATTTTATCTTAAAGAGCGTCAATAATTTTAGTTTTAATAAAATATAGTTTGAAAATATTAATGTGTATGTGAGAGAAAGAGAGAGAATCGTTAAACCATTTTTTCTCCGTAAGACCGAGCGCACGCCTCTCGGAACCGCGCTCCGCGGCGTAGCTACGCGTAGGCTTCGATCTGTAGCTACGATTTCACATGCATTTCTTTACAAAAAAATTCATAACTTCTACACTTTTTGAGTCCCCTAAAAAATAAGTAGTCAAAATTTGCGGAAAATTTAGGGCTATCATCATGGTGATTTTTTTTAAATTTGAGGTGGCATTTTTGGGAATTTAAATTTGAAAAAAAAATTAGATTTTTTTTAAGAATTTTTGAACAAAATTTTTTTATTTTTATTTTATCTTAAAGAGCGTCAAAAAATATGTTCATATGATTTTTTTCGAAATATTTTGTCTTTCGGTTTTTTAAATAATCGAAAAATAAGAGAAGTGACATTTTTTTTGTTTATTATGTAAAACCTACAAAAATGCATTAAAGGGGTTGAAATTTTAGATTTCTCCATTACTTTAGTTCGTCTATCGACCCTGAAATTTGAAGCAAATCGGAAACATGAAGTCTTACTCTTGGCCGATTTGGCGTGGACTGCCCCATATAGGGGCATTCCACGTTACTCGGTAATTTTTGTCCCGCCCGTCACATTTAAAAATTGTGAGTAAAAACCACAAGTTATAAAATTAATATTTTATAATATTGTTTTTATTGTGCTTATAACTTATTAAAAACAAAATAAAACAATATTTTTAAAAAAAATTTATAACTTGTAGTTTTTACTCACAATTTTTAATTGTGACGGGCGGGACAAAAATCCCCGAGTAACGTGGAATGACCCTATAGTAAAAGTCGATATCACAAAAATGCGTTTTTAAACTATTAAACTAATTTTAAGACAAGATAACACATTTTCACGATAAAATTAAAATTTCTAAAAAACACTTTCTTTCTGAAAAGAACGTAAATTCTGGATGAAATAAGTCAAAACCGGACAAAGGCTGGTGAAAATCTATCTGCCTATATCTGCATTATGCCCGCTTTGCTATATCCGCGAACGTCTGGTTTTACCTGTTTTTAGTCCGGTTATTACACCATCGTCAATCATACGGTTTTACCTTACTGTACAAACATTGCGTTAAACCGTGCTTGCCTGCAATTTGTTTGTTTATTTATGTCTGCTTTTTTCCGTGCGTGCCTGCTTTTTGTTCGTCGGTTTTCGTCCGGATTAATCCGCAAATGCTTGCTACATCCGCGAACATTCGGTTTGACCTGTTTTCGTCCAGTTATAACTAGTACACAGCCATTCCAGGCAAAAGTCCACCAATGAATAAAAACTAAAGTTTTCCATTGTGTAGCGCAAAAGTACTAAAATGCTTACTAGTGGTATAATAATAATAAAATTAAACTATCTTTTCCAAATATTTCAACTGCGGGATACCCCAACTCTTTTTTAAGTTAATTTACAGACGTCATATTTATTTTCATGTGACGCCGAATGTTTCTGAAAGTTTTGTGTTGAAATTTTGTAAAAAATGGGTAAGTATTACTTCTTTTTAATTAGTTTTAATTTTTTTTGCCATCTGTAGCGTCCGTTGCGTATTTTTTTCATTTTTTTAATTGTTTTTTATGTATACAAAGAAAAAATTCTAAAAGTAGATTTTTAAATAAAAAACGTTATACTCTTAATTTTTTATTGCAATAATTTGGCTTTAAACCCTACACCTAATTTTTAAAGTACAGGTAAAAACATGTAGCGTCCGTTACGTCCAAAGTTATAATTAAACTACATGTATGGTCAAAAAATGTAGTTTGCTTTATTTATATCACGAAAGCCCACACTTTTACACACAATTTAACATTTTATTTAGTTTTTGTATTTTTGGTCATGTTTGCCCCCTAACCCCCCTAATGTGGGACCGATTTTTTTGGCACATTAAGTATAACGTATAAAGTATAAAGTAATATACCAAAATAACCATAACTATTTCTTTTTGCAGGTATAAAAGCAAAAGATGCGACCGCAAAAGAACGCATGCGTCGATACAGACAAAAAATTAACGAAATCAAAGAACTTAAAGACCAGTTGTTGCAGAAAGATGCTCAACGGAAAAGGGAAGAACGAGCCGTAAAGAAAATAACAATTACGGGAGAAAAAAAACATTGCAAAACATAAACAAAAGGAGCGAATGCGACAGTATAGAGAAAAAATTAAGCAACATATAAAGAAAAAAAACAAAACTGACAAAAACATTCTTTGGCCATACACTTGTAAACAGACACTTGGCAAAAGCAATATCTAAGGTAAACAAGGTATTACCAAGTTGTCCTCAAAAACAAAAAACGATCATTAAACATTTGACCCGTGATAAAATTCCGGACATTATTAAAGAAAAGAAACCTCGCGATATTCAGTATTTATACAATAATGAGACCATTGAACATGTCAAGGAGTTCTATATCAGAGATGACATTAGCAGGCAGGCCCCTGGCAAAAGAGATACTGTCAGTGTAAAGGATGCAAGGTCAGGCAAACGAGAAGTTAAACAAAAAAGACACTTAATTATGACTGTAAAAGAGGCGTTTGCATTATATAAAAAAGAATTTACAGGAAAAAACATAAAAATGAGCAAATTCTATGAATTACTTCCAAAATATGTTTTGCTTTCATCGGATATGCCGCACAATGTCTGTGTGCAGATATCATGCAAATTTCAGTTTTTTAATAGAAGCATTACATAAAGTGATTCCCGCATATCCATCAACATGTAGAGATTTGCTAGATAAAGTCTGTTGTGATGTAAATAGCGAGGACTGTATGGCCAACAGAGAAGGGTGTCCCAGCTTTGACGAAGATCTGAATTTTGCCTTGGTACCACTTAGATATCTATTCTCAAATACTCAAATATTATTAAAATGGAAAAATTGACTGATGTTGACCAGAGGTTGCAGATTGAAGAAAAAGAAGGTACCATAGCTGAAGCCGTCAACGAAATGGAAAAACAACTTAGTTTTTTTAAAACACATTGCTTTGTAAAAAAAATGCAGGAAAAATATTTTGATGACCAAAACCGTAATGTTATAGTGCAAATTGACTTTGCTGAGAATTATTAACTCACAAATCAAAATGAGATTCAAGCAGCTCATTGGTCTCATAAGCAAGTAACCATTTTTACTTGTGTAATTTGGACCCCTGAAAAAGTATTATCTCTGGCGATCATTATCGACTATTTGTCCCATGACAAATACGCGGTTTATAGAACATCAAAACATTTGTAAAAAATTAGAAGAAGTTCCTAATGTTTCTTATTTTATTCAAAAAATTTTAATTTTCTCTGATGGTTGTGCGGCCCAATTTAAAAATAGATTTACTCTCAGTAATTTATGTTATTTGGAGACAGATTTTGACCTTCCATCACTAGAGTGGAATTTATTTGCGACGTCACACGGGAAAGGAGCTGTAGATGCAATCGGTGGCAATGTCAAAAGAACGGTTTGGAGGGAGGTGAAGTCAAAAAATTTAAATCTTGTAAACGACGCAGAGTTTTACGAATGTGCTAAGAATCACCTGCCAACTACCAATTTAATTTATGTAGATGCTGCACAGATAGAAAATATTAAATCTTTTCTTGATGAAAGACGGCTTAATGTCAAATCTATTAAAGGAATACAGTCCAAACACCACTTTTCCAAACTTAGTAACAATATTTTGCAAACCGCTCAAACTGCCAAGTCTTCTTGTGAGCCCTTCATTGTTTAAAATGTTATTATATAAATTTAATTTTAAGTTAGTTTAGTTCATTAATGTTAATGAAATGTTTTTTGTGTTGTCAAGAAAATGTGTAGCCTCCATTACGTAGCGTCCGTTACGCCAAATTTTCTTTAATTCCATATCCACAAATAAAAGTTTTATATACATACCATTTTATTATTATTGTATATTTATATGTATATGAAAATTATTTGGGGACTTTATTTCATTTCGCAGAAAAAATGTTAAATATAGTTTTTATAAAACAGCATGCTAGCACTTCTTTTCGCTGTAGCGTCCGTTACGCAAATTCAAAAATCAATATAAAAAACCAAAAGTAACAGAAAGTTTGTGCCGCTTTTATTTGTTAAAGCCAGGTATTGTCAGTTTGTTCTTCATCACTGCTTAAAAAAATGCAAGATCCACATTGATAAATTCTTTATTTTATTGAAAAAAAATCGTACACAGTGTAGCATCCGTTACACTGGAATGGCTGTACACCATCGTCAAACATGTTTTTTTTGTTGATCAATACTTTTTATTAAAAATGATTTATTTCCTCGTAAACTTAATCCGGGTATATCGGACAAAGAACTAAAAAAAAGTGCGAACACTGGACATTCTTTTAAATTTTATATTTCTAGGAGGTCAACCGATCATTTTGAGCCCAAAATTAAAGTAGGTTTTAGGTCATCCCTTTGAGGTAATTTGATTTGAATTTTTTTTTATTTATTTTTAATAATTTTTTTGTTTCTCCAAAAAATGTTAGTACCTATATTTTATTTTGGTGAAGAATATT